CGAAAAGCCATCGTGGAAAGAGCAGCACAGCTGGCCATCAGAGTCACCAATCCCAACGCCAGGCTACGCAGCGAAGAAAACGAGTAGATGGCTTGCCTCTGTGTTTCATTTGTGTTTAAATAAAACCACAAAAAATGCCGCCTTGGTATTCTTTTTGGAGATTGTTCTTTGCTTCTTAAGTGGTCCCTGGTGGAACCTCCACTTGAGAGAGGGTCTGTGCACGGGCAGGCATGGCTGTGGTTGCCCAGAGGTGGTGAGGAAGGGGAAAGGACTTGGCAACCGAGGGTCTGCAAACATTGGGAATCCAGAGCTAGAGTAAAACTTGCAAGAGTCGAGCAGGTCAGCCTTGGCTCTCACTGGCCCAGCTGTGAGCATGGCCTAAGATTGAGGAAGCCTGTTTGTGAACAGGGCTCCTGCTTAGCCTCACGCAGGACTGACGGCTACCATGACTGTTTTTGGAGGATTGAGAATTGGTGAAACTGGCAGGTGTAGTTCTGCCACAAGATACAGGGGCAGTGCTGCATATTCAAAACTAGTCACAGGTTAATCTGGGTTTTGTTTTAAGGTGATTTTCTGCATGTAGCACAGGCTAGTCTCGAGACAGTACAGTTCATAGGGGTGTAGCAAGTGACACTCGGTAACTAGACAGAAATGCAACCCAGCCTTTTTTAGAAATGAGGCTGATCTAGACTAGATCCTGTAGATTAAAAATGCCTTACAGGTCTGGTCAAAATTGAGCTGGGGGGATAGCTCAGTTGAAGGCCCAGTATACATGCAGCACTGTTAATCCCCACAAACAAATTTGTACAAGAACTGATTATTTTAAGGACTTTTTTCCCCCTTGCTGTGGTCTTGGGATTGAACTTAAAATAGTGTACATGGTAGACAAGTGCTCTACCACTGAGCTGTTTTAATTTTGTTTTGCCTGCATGTGCCTTGAAGGCTTCATATCCCTTGGGACAGGCATTGTTGCTACCATGAGGGCTGGGAATTGAACCTGGGTCCTATGAAGAGCAGCCTCCTGCCCTGTTGCTTATAGATAGGGTCTTACTAAGTTGCTCATCATGACCTTGAACTTGTCATCCTCCCTCAGCCTAAGCAGCTGGGGTAACAGGTCTGTGCCTTCAGCCCTGAGTCAACCTGGGAACTGGATTGAAACTAGCTACTATGAATAAAATCATGAAGTTGGGTATAGTGGCGCACACCTGAGGCAGGCAGATCTCCGAATTCAAGGCCAGCCTGGCCTACAAAGTGAGTTCCAGCACAGCCAGGGCTGCTACACAGAGAAACCCTGTCTCAAAAAACAACCAAAAAAATTATGTGAGAATGTTAAATCTGTTCTTTATTCAGATCACAAACCGACCTCAGCCAGCCTTTAATCCCAGGCAGAAGTAGAGGGATCTCTAGGCCAGCCTGGTCTACAGAGTGAGTTCCACAACAGCCTGGCTACACAAACCGCTGCTTGGGGGGTGGGGGGGTGTCTGTCATTGAGATTTGGACTTTCAGTACTAACCACTACACACCTTGGGAAGAACACAAACTGTTACACGCCTTGGTGGTGAGGTTAGAGATGGTTCACACGGCAGGCCCAAGCCTGTCTAGTGATCCATGCCATCTTCCCTGGAAACAATTCTTAGAAATGAGGTGTTCTGAGTTTTAGGAAGCATAAACTGGGTCTCCTGGGCCCAGGCCCAGAGCTTCCCTGGGCTCTACACAGCCCTACTCTTGGCCAGGGCACCGATCTCTGACATTTGGAGTCCAGAGTAAATCAAGCAGGAAGACAACTCCTATAATCCAATGCTGGCTTCTAAACAAGTGGAGAGGAGCAGTGTCAAGTGTAAATGGGGTGGACCATTACCCCATCTGTGAATGACTGTCCTGAGTTAACGGGCCCAGCTCTGGCACTGGGGCTGAGGCCTGTGAGAAGGGGCCCTAACAAAGGCACTGAGGCTGACTGGGAAGGGCAGGAGAGGCCAAGGCCTATGGGCGTGGGAGAGGGAGGCTCGTGTTGGGGACAGCTAACTGAGTTCCATAGAATCCATGCTGGGACCAGAGGCTGAATCTTTCTGGATGCTCTCGAAGAGGGTGGTGAGTTCTGGGTTGGATCGGATCTGGGTAGAGAAATCGGCCATACTGGGGCTCTTCCGTACCTCAGGGTTGGTCAGCAGGGCAGCCACTGCCCGCATTGCTGAGCGCTTCAACTCATCCTGCTTCTCCAGCTCCTGCTTCACAGAACCAGCCTTGACCTGCAGAGGGAGACAGTGTCCTTACTGAGCCTATGTACCCATTTCAAACATACAGGGTTCAGATTAATGAAGGCTTAATTTCAATCTAATTCACATCAGGTTTCATTTTTTCTGCTAATGTGTTGCTATGTGAAAAATCACAACTTTGGGGCTGGGTATGTGGCTCAGCTGGCAGAGTGCTTTGCCTGGCATGCACAAAGCCCTGGTTTGATGAAGGGGACCTGCCCCAGCACCATGTAAAACCTGGTGTAGTTATAGCTAGCTGGTAATCCCAACATTTGGGGGTGGGAGCAGAAGGACCAGAAATTCAAGTTATCTTTGACCCTGTTGAGTCCAAGGCCAGAAGTGACTGTCTCCTCTCCCCTCCCTTCCCCACCCACACAAAGAAAATGAAAAAATAACTTGGCACAGGCCTGTAGTCTCAGCCACATGGAAGGCAAGAGAGGAGGAAGGAATCACTTTGAAGTCTACCTAGGGATCACAGAATTTTTTTTTTTTTTTAAGAAAACCAAGACACTACTCTGAGTTTTTCCTTAAGACTGAAATTCTTGGCCCTCTTTCTGGCTAAATCTTATCCTTTCAAAACTCAAATGGGGGTGGGGGGTGGGGAGACAGTTCAGTTTGCAAAGTAGTTGCTGGCAAATTTGAGGACCCGAGTTCAGATCCACATAAGAGCTGGGCATGGAGCTGGGCACCAGTGGCACACGCCTTTAATCCCAGCACTTGGGAGACAGAGGAAGGTAGATCTCAAGTTAGAGGCCAGCCCGTTCTACAGAGTTCCAGAACAGCCAGGGCTGGCTACAAAGTGAAACTGTATGAGAAAAAAAAAAAAAAAATCCGTGTTGAGATCAAGGAAGACAACTGAAGTCAACCTCTGGCCTTTAGACACACAACACAAGTTCAATATACATAAACAAGTCACACACACACACAAGTTCTTTTGTGCAACAAGTCTTCACTGGGACCTTGAGCATGCCCAGGCTGTTCCCAACACTACAATTTTCCATGACACCTTCACCCCAGATTCCCCTCAAGACCTTGAGACACTCCCTGTAAGCAGAGGCTCTGCCCTGGAGCAGCCAATCAATCAATCAATCAAATCAAATCAAATCAATCATTCACAGGAGTCAGGCCCAGCTCCCCAGCTGGGATCTGCAAAGACGAAGTAGGAAACCAGCATGCACAGCATTGTACCCTGGGTCCTCTCACAGCCCAGCAACCAGGAAGTTTTTAATGAAGGAATCTCTCAGCCTGTTGCACTGTATAGCCCTGGGCAACAGAACATTCTAGGGCAACAGGGATGATGGAAGCAGCTAGCACACCACCACAGTGCACACTGTACAGTGAGGAGTGACTAGACCTGCCAGGCAATCCAGGGCCCAGGCAGGGTGGGGTGGGGCGGGGCGGGGCATACCTTGGCAGTACAGGTGGCTTTGAGTGGCTCGATGAGCCGGTCTACCCTCTGCAGGACAGGTGCAGGACAAAGGGTGGCCAGCCGGGCCAGCATGATGAAGGTCAGCATCTGCCAAAGGAAGCAGATGGAACTCTTGGTGAAACAGCCCCCAGACAGAGCAGCAGGCCCAAGGGAAGTACAGGCTTGCACCCCACAGACCCACCATCAAGTCCTTCCAGGACCCTGCCCAAGGCTCCTGCCTCTCCGGGTCTCAGTTTCCTACTACAGAAGATGTAAATGGTGATGCTGAATCTTGCCAGTCACTCTAAGCGGTGTGAGGATGGCTGGGTAGCAGAAGACATAGGGAGGGCGGGGCAGTTCCCATGCTCACAAGCCTCTAGCATAGGCCTGAGAAGGAACACAGCAGCTCCTCAGCTCCCACTGACACTAGCTTGGATGTGCTTCATTTAGATATGGCTTGAGTGTGTACCACAAAAGCCCATGTATGTACTGGAAGCTCGATCCTCACTGTAGCAATGCTGAGAGGTGATGGAACCTTCAGCAGGCGGTGGCCAGGCTCCTGGAGGTGGTACTGTCAGAAGGAGTTATTAGGCCTCAGAGGACCTGGGTTCTCCCAAAAGTGAATGATAAAATGAACATGCCTCATGCCTGACTCTACCATGTTAACACCTGTGCAGGTGCCTGGCCTTGTGACATGACCAGAGCCAAGCAGCTGCCTCCTTTTCTTAAGAATACCCAGCCACAGTTTTGTTTTTGTTTTTTTATATAGCAACAGAAAATAGTCCAGGTGTGGTGGCGCACGCCTTGATCCCAGCACTCGGGAGGCAAATGCAGGCGGATCTCTGTGAATTCGAGGCCAGCCTGGTCTACAGAGGGAGTTCCAGAACAGCCAGAGCTACACAATGAGACCCTGTCTTGGGGGAAAGAACAAACAAACAAACAAAAAACCAACAACAAAACAAGTAATAATAAGAACCAGAAAACAGCCTGGTACAATGGAAATGTGGGAATTTACCCTGCATTATGGTTTGTTTTCAAAATAACTATTCTTTATGTAAAATCTCATGATTTTTAAATGTTGATAACATTTAAAACAAATTAATTCAAAGCAAAAATGGCCTAAGCCATTCCAACACTAGTAGATTTGGAGCTCATGTGCCCAGAGTGCACACCCTGAGAGAAATCTAAAACCTGGTTCCTTGTTCTTGACAGAAAGTGGCCCAGCTGCTTTCACGGGGTGCCAGGAGGAGGGACAAACAGCAGGGGCCTGATGGTGCCTGGCCCCCTGGCTCTGAGCTGGGTCTGCATCTGGCAGGGCACATCTTACTCGGATGTCATAGTGGTCCTTCAGCCCGTCCTCCACGTGGTTCAGAAACTCGCAGATGTCCAGCTGGCCCAGGCAGCTCTCCAGCAGCGAGTACATGCACTCGAAGGCTGCCTTCCTCACGTCTAGCCCATCATCTACTGTATGCTTGAAGGGCCCCATCTCCACCTGCAGGAAGGAAGGACACAGAAGTTTGGGGGTGCGAAGCCCCTCCCCTAGTTTCTGCAACTCACCCCACCTGCTCAGCACTGCATCTTGGCCCCAAGTCACACTTTCAAGCTTCAGGAATCAGCTCAGCTGGCAGCATCCTTCCTCCCAACTGTCATACCTGCTGAGCAGGCAGAGTCAGGCCCTGGGGGTGTGGATGTGCGTGCAGGACCTCATGCATACTGAGCACATGTTCTACAACTGAGCTGCAACCCTTGCCTGATGGACGACATCTTACTCAGTACTAAAGCCACCTTAGGAAGGCCTGGGATTAAGGCTCAGAGTAGAGTGCTTGCCTAGCACACAGAGACCCAGGTTTGATCTCCAGCACTGAATAAACCCAGATGATGGCACACATCTGAGACCCCGGCACTCAGGAGGTGGAAGCAGGAACAGAAGTCCAGGGTCATTCTCAGCCTAGACTACATCAGATTCTGTCTCCAGAAGGAAGTGAAAACCTTAGGAAGAAGGTGCTGCTAACAATCCCATCAACAAAAAAGGAGCCCAGGTCCAGATGGGTGACTGACATGCTCAAAGACCCACAGCTGGTAAGTGGCAGAACCAGACTCAAAGAACCAAGTCCTCTGAAGCTTTTAACCATGAGATCTGGCTTTTGACAGTAAAATGGTGCTGTCTCAAAACCCAACTGAAATGCCCTTCTTTTGGAAAACGTCTCCAACCCCTCTCAAGAGCACTGCTTCCATCTCAGCCCTCCACGGGGGACTATGGGATGATTTGGCTGTCAGTCACCTCAACCCCCTACCCCTTTAGCTCTCTCCACCAGTCTGGTCCTCATAATCCCCTCTACTGGAGGCCGAGCAGAGCGCCAGGTTGGCAGAACCCCAGTACAGTGGAGCTGTCTGAGTCCTGGAACTTGAGACTCTGGCCGAGTGACAACAGTTGCTGACATCACAACTCATTATCCAACATGCTTGAGACTTGAGGTTCAGGAATTTGAGTTTGTTTGGGTTATGGATTTTGGAACATTTGCACATTCAAAGAGACATCTTGCAGAAGGGAACCAAGTCTAATACAGAATCCATTTATGTCTAGTAAGTCCCTTCTTCATATGCCTGCAGAGTTTCAGATAACAGTATTTGTAGGGTGCCTACACTTTAACTAGGACCTGTCACACAAGAGGTCACAAGTGGTAGTAATTTGAGGACCAGGATGCTCACACTGAACATGTGCTACTAAGCACCAGAGCTGCCCCAAGTGCTTAGGGCACGTTCCTGTGGGACAGGCATGGTGGCTGTTCTCACTTAGCTCCAGGGGAAACCGAAGCTCAGGGGGCACTGGGTTGCCCTGTCTGGGTCACAGCTGGGGAGTGGAGGGGCATGACATGCCTGGGCCATGTGGCCCTGGTGCCTGTGTGGGCTTCATCCTAGTCCTCAGTAAGCCTTGCTAGCGAGGCTCAGGAGACTCAAGGGGACAGCTAACAGGGGGCTAGGTCATGCCAGGTGCCCATGCTGCCCTGTACCTCTCGGATGAGGTCCCGGCGGATCTTGGTCTCCTGGTAGAGGAGGGGTAGGATGTCATCCAACAGGTCCCGGACCAATGACGGCTTATTGTGCACAGCTGAGTTGAAGAAAGTGAGTGTGGCCCGGCGCACGTTCAGGTCTGGGTCCTGCAGGCTTTCCATGAACTCTGCTGCAGAGGGACAAAGAAGGACGTGGAAGCAGGACACAAAGCCACCTGTACGATGTACCTTGGTGACCCTGACACTGAGAGTTGTGCAGGCTGAAGGGCAACACATCCTGAACATCTACCTAAGCCAGACACAACCACCCTCACAGTCCACATGAGAATGCTTGGCTTCCCACTAACGGTGGACTTGGGGAGCCTTGCCCTCTTGGCAGGGTTTTTAGAAATAAGACATGATAGCAGCTCAAAGCACAGGGCTGAGGGCTGGCACAGAAGAAGAACTGTTTTGTCTTGAGACAGGTCCTTACTGAATAGCTCCAGTTCTGTGATCTTCCTGCCTGAGCCTCTTGAGTGCAGGACGATAGGTGAGCGCCTCCTAGAGGACGGGGTCTGAAGTGCTAAGCTGACAGGCCTACAGCTGCTTAGAGGACTGCACAGCTCCTCTGAGCAGGCCTTTTGCAGAGGTTTAATTTGGGAATTTAGACCACGTTTTATTTGGGCTAGTGCTGAGGATGGAACCCAGGGCCTTCGCACATGCTGAGCACACGTGCTACCACTGAGTTGCATCCTCATCCAGAAAAATAAGAGTACAGAAACCTGACAGTCTCCACTGCGGCCATGTGACCCCAGTGAAACTCACCAGCCACTGGACATGCTGCTGTCATGTGACCCCTGATGTACCCCACGGGGAGGAACTGCAGTCTTCCAGCAGAGCAGGACTCAACAACACTGGGACCTGGGGTCCCTCCCATGATGCTATGCTAGCTCCTCAGGTCCTGCTCTTGTGAGAATACAGCCTAGGAATCTGACAAGTCTGAACCCTTTCTTGGGACTCAGTTTCCTCATTTATAAAATGGGACCAATGTCCTTTACTAGGCTGGAGCTATGAAAATTAACTGATGAGTTTTTTATCCAAGGGCATCACATGGTATCCAACTCAGGGAGCTCAAAAACAGGATCAAACATGCTAAAGGTAGTGGGGCATGCCTGTAATCCCAGCACTTGGGAGATAAAGGCAGGATCAGGAGTTCAAGGTCATCCTCAGCTATTATATAATGAGTCTGAGTCCAGCATGGGCTATACAGATTCAGTCTGTAGAACAAACCAGCCTGAGTTTGGTTCCCAGCACCCATGTAGTAGCTCACAATCATCCATAACTTCAGTTCCAGGGGATCCAATGCCCTCTTCCGATCTCTACAGGCACCAGGCACACACATGGTGCATAGACATGTACAAGTGAAACACTAATACACATAAAACAAATCAATATTAAACACACACACACCCCAAACCACAATAAGGCAAAACTGAAAGCCAGGCGGCAGTGGTGGCACATGCGTTTAATCTTAGCATACACCTTTAATCTCTGAGTTCGAGGCCAACATGGTCTACAGATCGAGTTCCAGGACAGGCTCCAAACGCTACACAGAGAAACCCTGTCTCAAAAAACCAAAAAAAAAAAACAAACAAACAAACAAACAAACAAAGAAAAAAAACAAAACAAAAACCCAACAGAGGCACCACTGGTGGGCCCCTGGCCATGCAACCACAGCAGCTCTTCAGGCTGGAAATCTGGTGCGGCCATCCAGGTCAGGCCATGAGGTGACTGAGACAAGGATACAGTCTCTACTCAAAAGTGGTCATGCCACTGGCCCTCTGGTCTGCCCAGCGCCCTGGCATGTGGGTCAGCACCCTATTTGATAGCTGAGATGGAAATGGCCTGCCCGCACAAGTCCGCCTTTACAGCTAAGGCTCCCTCTACATTCCATGGGGCTGCCTACTGGGTGAGGAGGGCTGAGTCTGCTGTGGCCCCTGAGAAGATGCAGGTGCTGTGCTTCGAAGGCAAGAAGTCTGGTTCTGCAGGAGGTTCCGAGGGAAGGCCTGGCCTACCCCACCAAGGCTCCTCCCGCTCAGGCATCCTCAGACTTGTTCACGTGGGGCTCACCAGCTCAGACTTATTTTTCATCCTCAGAGCCTGTGCATTTACAGCACTTCCCACCCCAGCAAGCTGTTTCCAAGAAAACCTGTTCCAGAAACTTCTCATACCCATTTGACAGAGGGGAAGCAAGGTTCATCTGTAAGAAGGGGCATGCTAGGCCTACCAGAGCCTTGGTGCAGACAAAAGGCCTGAAGGCAGATCCTCACTCAAGAGTGTGCCCTGCTGCCCATCACAGAGTTGCTTTGGAGTCTGCCACCCTTGGCTCATTTGTGAGACATCCTACCAAACTCCAGACCTGGGGGAAGGGTACTAGCTTCAGCCAAGACAGGGACTGGGGGACACATACCAATGTAGCTCTTCAGGAGGGGGTCAATGGGGTGTGGCTGGTCTGAGATGAGGAACTTGACTGCAGTGATGACCGTGCTCCGGGTGTATGGCTTACCTGCAAGAAGAGAGGTGACAGTGTGGGCAGGGGTCAACCTGCAGGCCTGCGGGAGCCAAACACAGTACCCCTCTCCCTACTTGAAAAACAACCTCCTCCAGGAAGTCCATGGGATTCCGTCCTGTGGAGCCCTGCATCTGCCCAGTTCTTCCTCCTGCAGCTAGAGTGGGTGGGTGGGTCCTGACACCACCCTGCAGGTGCAAACACAGCACTAGGACCTGGGAAAGTCGTGCCTCCAGCTGAGACTACACTGCATTTTCCTGATATCCTCTCCATTCAAACTCACATAATAATGAAATGTTAATTAAAATAATGAAGCTGACGTGGTAGTGCTGACCTGTTACACAAAGGACCCAGGAGTATCTTCAGGAGTTCGAGGTCAGCCTGGGCTACAAAGTCAGTCTCTGTCTCAAAACCAAACAGAATTATGAAGGACTATTGGTCTGTGCTTCACACAGGAAAGAAGGACTCAGAGAGGCCAAGCTCATATTTAAGGCCACACAGCAGAAGCCTGAGCTTTTGTCAGGGTGGAGGCCCGTGGGATTCCCACAGCACTCAAGTCCCCTAAGCATGATGTCACGAAGGACTCACTTTATTTCACTTTGTTGCTGACTTTAAAGAGCTGGGGAAATGAAGGGCTCACACAGATCCCTACGGATGGAGGTAATACCAGGGCATGGCTCACATACCTCCAGCTTGGTCCCCAGCTGCAAACTGGTGTGACCTTTGGGACTGGGGCCCAGCTGGCAGAAGTAGGTGCTGATGGTAAGCCTGGATGGCTACATTTGACTTTGAAACCAGCCTGATCCATCCAAACTGTTCTCCTGGTCCATCAAGATGTGAAGCAGCCACGCTGCAAGCTCCTGAGGCCACAACTCTCATGCCATGGCTGACTGTCCCTCTGAATGGGACCCTCTCGAAAGTCAGTTCCATTACGTATTTTGTCACAGCAGTGAGGAAAGTAACTACTGCAGCTCATGTCCACAGAAGGGATAATGAGAATGACATCAATGGGTTTACTTTGATGATGATGATGATGTTTTTAAAGATAGGGTCTATGTAGCCCTGAACTCAATATGTAGACCAGGCCGGCCTATATTTCAGAGATCCTCCCGTCTCTGCCTCCTGAGTGCCAGGATCAAGGCAGACACTACCATTCCACTCTATTTCACTTTCTTGTGAGTCGCTAGGAATGGAACCCAGGGCCCCATGCATCACCAGCAAACACTCTACCACCAAGTGACAGCTACGGCCCCAGGCCCTCCGTTCTTTGGAGTCAGTCTCACTAAATTGCACAGGGAGGCCTTCAACTTCCGTAGCAGGTAGGCCTTGAAGTCATAATTCTGCCGCAGCCTCCCACGTAGCTGGGATATATTCCTAGTTACAGAGTTATAGATTTATAATCCTGTATTCCTAATGCCATCATGAAACTTTAAATTGTACTTTACCCCTTAGTATCTTCAGAGGATAGGACCCAGGATCTCTCTAGAGACTAAGCCCAAGGACACCCAGCCCCTTCCACAAAACAGCATGGTGTCTACACAGAACCAAGGCACACCCTCCCACGTCCTTCAATGTTGACATTAAACATGTCAACAGTAGTTAATCTACACTGTCTAGGAAAAAGGGGCTTTCAAGATGGCTCTTGCTATAAAGGCACTTGTTACCAAGTCTGATGACCAGAGTTCAATTCTTGGGATCCACATGACAGGAGAGAACTCCCATAAGTTGTCCTGTGACCTCTATATGCATGCCATGGCAATGTGCGTGCATGCACACACACGCCAATGTCATTTTTAAAAAAAAGAAATAAAACCAAGAAAATTTTGCACACGTTCAGTACAGACACAATATTTTCTTGGGGTATTTTTGATCCAGGTGAGTTGAATCTATGATGCAGACCCCTTGGGTGAGGTCTGTTTGAGGTAGGGGCCTATCAAAAAACCTTAGGCTGGAGATGGCTCAGCAGTTAAAAGCACTGGCCCCTCTTACAAAGGACCTGGGGTTTGTTTCCAAGCACCCACATGGCAGTTCACAGCTGTCAATAACCCAAGTTCCAGAGCATCTGATGCCCTTTTTTTGGCCTCTGAGGGCAATGCATGGATATTCGCATAAATATATGCAGACAAAACACCCATACACATAAAATAAATCTTGAAGAAAAACAAAACAAAAGACCTTGTCCCTCTATCCCAGAGACCATGCAGGAGAAAGCCTGTACATTTGGGAAGCATGTTTCTATCTTGCTTATCTTCCTTGATTAACATACATGTGACGCTCATCTCCAGTGATCTGCATGAGTTATGTAGATGCTTGGGGACCAAGTGCCCACCTTGTGCTGGGCCAACTTGGGCCACTGTGTCCTTACCTGCAGCAAGCTGTTTCCGGAATCGAGGCAGGAGGAAGGGAGGGTTCACAAACACTAGCTTCCCGATGCACTCAGCCACCACACACCGAGTGCCTTCCTCGGGGTTCTCACAGCGCTGAAAGAGCAGTGCCCAGACATCCTCAACATAGGGCTTCAGGTTGTCAGGCTGGGCGGCCCCCAGGGCCTCCCTGAGTGAATGCAACAGCAGGTACTGTCGCCGGGGCTCGGCCTCAATCTGTGCCAGCAGGAAGGGCAGAAAGTCAGGCAGGTTGCCAGCACCCACACGGCCCAGGGCATACGCGGCTGCAGCCCTCACGTCCTCACTGGGAGATCCCAAGGCTTCCAGAAGCACGGTCTTCAGCTCTCTCTGGGGGCCTGGCCCAGCCACCTGGCCCACCTCAGCCAGTGACAGGAATGCCAAGACTTTGACCCCAGTGCTTGAGTGGGGCGACCTGGCATCACAGACCAGGCGGCTGGCAGTGCCCGCCGCCTCCTGGGGGCAGGCAGCTGAGAGGGCAGCCACACACCGGGCCAGGGAGTGGAACACCTGTTTGTGCAGGCCGGGTCCTCCATCCTCAGCCTGGTTATAAACGGGTGCAGTGAGCAGGCTAATGAGCTCAGCATACTCCACACACGGAGGGCGGGTGCCCACCAGCGCCTGTAGGAAGCCTTCAGTGGCTGCCAGCACCCCAGCAGGCAGCAAGGGTGAGTGCAGCAACTGCATTAGCTCCTCCAGAACAGGTCCGCTGACTTCCACCAGAGAGGAGGGCTGGGCCTGGGTCACAGTGGCGAGGAAGTCGACGGCCAGCTGGGCCACATGCATATCGTTCTCGCTGACCAGAGCCGGCAGCTCAGCCAGCACAGCCCGCACAGCAGGCGGAGGCAGGCCGAGGCCTTGACTCTGAGCCAGAGCATCCAGGGCAGCCAGCGTGGCCAGCCGCAGTGCCCGCTGATTTTTGCGCAGAAATGAAGCCAGGATAGGCAGTGCCTCGGCCAGGATGGGCTGCAGGTCAAGTCGCAATGGGGACACAGCCACCAGGGTCAGCGCCTTGACAGCTGGCAACCGGGTGATCTCATTCCGTAGGCGGTCCAAGAGAAGCATAAGCGTGGGCTCTAGGTCATCCCCAAGCCGGTCACCAAGGTGACCCACAAGGTGGCCCACACAAGAGATGGCCCGTTCCTTCACCTCCTGGTCTAGGTCAGTAGCACGGAGTCGTGCCAGGGTAGCTGTGGACATCTCTCCAACGTATGGCTCGGGGTCCAGCAGCCGAGGGCTATCCAGTGGCCACAGGGTCCGCACCAACTCCTGGAGCACCAGTAAGGCCTCAGCTGCCACCTTGTAGAAAGGGTCAGCCACGCAGGACATCACAGGTGGTAGGAGGGTGGGCAGGTGTGGGTGGAAGGCCTCAGCTGGCTCCGTACCCAGAAGCCCCTGTAGGAAGGCCAGGGCATCCATCCGAATGGTGGAGGAGCTGGAGTGGTCAGCCAGCGAAAAGACGATGCCTGTGGGTGGGAACCAAGGTTAGGGGCCCTTCAGCCTGGCTCAGTCTGGGGGTGTAGTGACCGAGCAAGGCATCTGCACTGAACCAAAGCACCCAAAGCTCCCAGACAGAAGTTTCCAGAGGCCACCAGAGCTGAGAGAAACAAGGCCAGAACTCCCCTGGAGCCACAAAGTAGACTTGGAAGCAGCCTTGTTCTCCCTTTGGTCAGAGGGGAACCTCCGTAGGCCATGATCACACAGGGCCCTGCCCAGAAATAACGCCTGGGCTCCCAGGGATTGAGGGCTCAGTATAGGGTGGGGGCTGGATTCTGGAAGAGGCCCAAGAGGAGAAAGCCCAGCCTACCTGAAACCAGCACTGGCATGTGCTCTGCCAGGCTGCCAGGGAGGACGCCTGCCAGCTCGGTGAGGAGGTAGAAGCAGCCCTGGCGGGTCCGAACATTCCGATCCTTAAGTTGCCGCTGCAGGGCCTTTATCACTAGGGGTACCTGTGGGCAGGTGGGGAGCTCAGGAACCAGCCAGGAGGCCTCCCCCAGGGAGGAGCCCAACATAGAGAGGACACCTCAGTGTCCACCAGCCTCTACTAGTCACCTGGTTCAGACTGCAGACAGAGTGGTGGTTGCCTCCATCTCATAAACGCAGACAAGGAACTGGCTCAAGGTGGCCCAGCAGCCTGGCTGTCACCTCTATCTCTATGAAGGGAAGCAGAGGCCTGGCCGTCTTCAGCATATGGCCCTTCTCTTCTTTACCTAGGTACACTCCCCATATATTCCTGAACCAGTGGCACCGGTGCCACCCTGATCTCTATCTCTGATCCAGCTTGCACATTTTCTGACTACCTATGGCTCAACCTAGGCATCTGCTACAGTCTGAATAAAGTATGTGGCCATAAGCACTCACAGGTTGGAAGCTTGGTCCCCAGTATGGTGGGGGTACTAGGAAGAGGAGGGACCTTTAAAAGGTGGCAATATCAGGAAGTCACTAAAAAGGATGAACTAGTTCTCCTGGACACATTGATTATAATATAAGGGCTTCGCCTCATCCTTCTGTCTTCCTGTTTTATCATGGGATGTCTTCCTTTTGTGTAGTCACGCTATCTACAAAGATGTCACACAGCTAGGCAATCCACATCAGGGCAGGGACCATGCTTTTTGGACTGTTTCAAACCTGAGTTCGACAAGGCTCTTCTTAGCAGGGACCCAGCCTCTGCATTTTATTATACTAACAGAAAATTTACTACTGAAAGCTAATGAGGACCTCAACCATAAATGTACAGAGATGCAGATGTCCCCTCCTCCTCAGAGTCCCCTATCCCAGGAGGCCAAGAGATCAACTGCTCCCTGCCTGTCCCAGACACAAGCAACCCATCATCAGCAAGATCCAATGGTTCAATCTAAAACCCACTTCTCAGGCCTGCGTGACCATTCAATCTCTCTGCTTCCACTGAGCCGAAGGCAACATCTCTTGTCCCCTGGACATAGTTGCAATGTCCTCCTGTTGGTCCCCAGCCATGACTCTTGTCTGGTCACAATCCATTCCTCACCCAGCAGCCAGAAGAACTTCTTTAAAGTGAAGCAAACTCTACCACCCCCTGCCTGTAGCTGCTTCCTCTTGGAATGAAACAAAGCCCTTCTCGCTCCTGGAAGCCCACTTGTGTTGCTGCCCATGTGTCCCAGGCCTGCACCACACAGAACAAGGATGAGGCAGGACTCCATCTGAACGCCCGGGCTGTGCACAGAGGGGCTCAGGCCACATCCCTCAGCCAGCGAAGAGATGGGGGTGGGGAGGAGGAAGGAAGGATGGAGAGTAGGCAAGGACATGGCCCACCTGTGCCCGCAGCATGTTGAGGTTGCTGCCTGTCTGGGTGGGCTCCTCCACGGCCTCTAGCCATCCCTTTGGGGGCCGTGTATGTCGCAGCAACTTGATGTAAGCCCCGAAGATGTCTGCCTTGACGTTCTCCTCCCGTTCCTTGAAGCGGCGGATGAGTGCTGGTGCCAGAGTACAGTGGAAGTCGGGCAAGAGGTCCGGCCGAGAGCTGATCAGGGCGGCCATGCACTTGGCTGCTGCTCGGCGCACCTTCCAGCTCATGTCGTCATCGTCGCTGTACTCGTCCTCACTCTCTGGGGAAGAGGGAGACATGAAGAGCCGTGGTCCTCAGCTCAGGGAAGAAGACAGTGGGGGTCCTACCCTGGCTTTACCTTCTGAAGAGCAGCATTCACGGCCTACTGGGAATGCCCCCACCCAGTGAGCACCTGGGGTGTGCTCAGATGGCATCATGCCCTTCGATCCACAATCTCGCCTGTGGGGCAAGGATCATTCCCCATCGCAGAGAACAGAACTGGGGCCTAGAGACAAGAACTGGCTTGACCCAATGTACAATCTCTACACTTCAGCCACAGCCCTTCCTGCCTCCAGCTCCTTGTCCGACGACATCAAGGAAGAAAGGTGCCGGCATGCTGACTCAGGCCTGTAATCCCAGCACTTGAGGTGGGGTGGGAGGGTCGTGAGTTCAAGGCCAGTCTGGAATACTTAGTGAGCCACCGTCCTCTTCCAAAAAAAGACTGACAGGGACTCAAGTCTGCAGTGGAGACACAGAACTTTCTGAGGCTCAGGCCCACTCTCTGGCTTCAGGATGGCCATTTCCAAAGAGAAAGGTGGCCTCCCTGGGGTCTTGGTGCTAACCCAGTCCTGGTCAATCAAAGGCCCTGATCTCAAAGGTGTTCAAGCACCAAAGAAAGAATGGGTATGTGCGGCCTCTACTCTATAGGCCTGAGAGTCAGCAGATCACAACTCAACCAGGACAAAGGAGCTAATGGCCCCATTTTACAGATGTCAAGACCAAGGCTCAGAGATGGTGAGAGATCTCAGGAAACATAGGAAACTGCAGAGCAGAGATTCAATCCTGTGGTAGTTTGAAAGAAAATGGCCCCCAAAGAGAGGGGCACTATTAGGAGGTGTGGCCTTGCTGGAGGAAGGTGTCACTGGGGGTGGCTTTGAGGTCTCTTTTTCTCTAGCTTTCCTCAATGTGACAGTCAGTTGACTTCCTGTTGCCTGCAAGATGTA